ATATCAAAACTTCAGTTTTGATTAGTAATATGCATTGCTAAGGACTTCATTTGGACAACTTTAAAAGCGATTTTCTCAATATTTTGATTTTTTTGCACCCTCACATTCCTCACATTTTCAAATAGATGTATCTCAGACAAATATTGTCCTATCCTAACAAACCATACATCAATGGAAAGCTTATTTATCCAGATTATGTATAAATCTCAATTTAAAAAAAATTGACCCTTAAGACTGGTTTTGTGGTCCAGGGTCACATATATTATGTAAACACAAACTTTTATTTTGGATGCAATTAATCGCAATTAATCAATTTGACAGCCCTAGAATTTATGTGTGTATATATATATATATATATATATATAGAGAGAGAGAGAGAGAGAGAGAGAGCGAGAGAGCGAGAGAGCGAGAGAGAGAGAGATTGAGGACAGCAGCCATAAAACAAAAACCAAAACAACAACAAAAAAAACAGTTCCTCCACTGAAATACTCACTTCTCCACCAGGTAGTTTCTTAGCCCCCGTACCAGGCCTCTGGCGATGGTCTTGACACGTGGGGTTAAAATGGCTTGAGACACATGAAAGCTGCCGTATTTGGCTCGTTCACCCAGAGTCGTCTCCAGGAACTGGATGAGGTCGGTGGCGTCTGTGGTATTGGCCCAGGGGGCGGGAATTTTACTACCAGGCCACATCACAGGACAGCTCTCAGCAGATGGATGGTGGTAGAACACTAGTACCTGTGGAATCAAACACAAATGCCAGAGACTGAACGAGCCATTATTCTAAAATGACATGATGGGCACTAATAATAATAATATTATTAGTGGTGCTTCCAAAATACTTGCTATAGCTCATATTTTAAGGTTAGAGAACAAAGCGTATTGAAAAATTAAACTTCGGTGCACATCTCATACAGTCATGAATAATAACTTGAATTATCCAAATTATTAAAGGGATAGTCCACCCAAAAATTTAAATTCTGTAACACTTTATTTTGATGGTCCCCTTTAGAGATACTGTTGACTATAAGTGACTTTGCCATCTACTAATACTTTACTAATGCTCTGATGAGAATTAGTTGACATGTAGTTGTGAAGTTAGTTAATCAAAATAATTCCTAAAGTGAACCATCAAAATAAAGTGTAACTGAAAACTCTGTCATCATCTGTGCTATTGCTCTTAGATGATAAAAATGGACCAAAAAAAATATGGTTATCACTTGAGCCTTATCAAGGTACCAGGATTAGACTTGGTTGATAGATGTTGGGTTCTAGCAAGTAAGCATATAGTAACAAAATACCCTAGAATCCATGTGGTACAATGTGGTAAAACCATTCAAACATCTTAGCAACCACATAGTAACCACCCACAACACCCAAGAAAAGCGCTTCTCAACACAAGCAGAACACCATGTTGATTTGCATGTCAATCAGTTATGTCCACAAAGACATGAGAATCTGTTAAACTGAAGGTGTTCACAAATAGAGTGCTCAGCTGGAATGTTGGTGTCCAGTTTTTGCCATTTGTACACCTGTCTGTCTCCATCAGAGTGGAGGTGAGACATTAATCCTATGGTGATTAGGGTCAGTACACAGCAGGAATAGCTGACCTCTGGTGCAACACACCACAGACACACAAAGAGTCATCAGCACTAATTCAGACACAACCTGGGTTATTATTCCTAGTTTTCAGTCACGTGACTGGCTCGAAGACGTGGCGGGCAGGACAAGAACTGCAGCACAAGCCTGTCAATTTTCTATCTGTTCCAATCCAAAAATATTTAGATCACCTCTTAAAAGAATAAAACAAAGATACTGTATGTGAACAAAATGCAAGTTTTGGCCATTAGCAATCCATAAAAAGTCCCCGCCGCAATATTTCAATCACTAAAAACAGCGGGACATTCTAAAACGTTTAATGCGAAAACACTTAAAGTGCCTTTGAAACAGTGATATTAAAAGATCAAATTCAGTACACACTTTATTTATGATTGTGTGATTTATACAGGCAAGCAAATGAGCCCGGAATATGAACGCAATGCATTAAAATGGTTAAGTGTTTTCTTTATAATGGTTTTCTATGGAAAAACATTTAATATTAAACTTTGTGTATTGCGTTTATATTCTGGGTTGATCTGGTTGCCTGTACAAAGTATGCATCATTGATAAGGTGAATACTGAATTTGGCCTTTAAATATCACTGTCTTACTACATTACTACTTAATGCATACCTCGTAAAAATCACGGGCAGTCAGTGGAGGAAAGCCTTGTTTTGCCCTGTAAGGGTGTGAAGTCACATGAAAACTATGAATAGTTAACTAAAACTAAGACTAAAACCAAAAAAGAATTTCCATTACTTAAAATAAAGGTTAACTGAGATATAAAATATAAAAGAACACTTATTACAGCCAGTTGCCAATGTGACATTTCTCATTTCAATTTAGTTTAACTTGATGTACTAAAATAAACCAAACTAAAATGGAATACTGCAAATGAATAAAACTATATATATATATATATATATATAACAAAAAAAACCTTCTAAACACAGAACAAAATTACTAAAATCTTAACAAAAATGAAAATGGAAAATATAATATTTTATAATAAAAACTATAATAGTATCTCAATGACACTAAAATAACACTGGACACAACTGTCCCAGAATGCCAGGAGAGACAAGGTAAGTTCCAAGTGCAGTTTATTGTTATAATTTAGGCCCACCGCCAACGTCCAAAAGGTCTGGGCAAGACCACCAACCTCCATTCCCTCCTGCCTCCAAGCCATCAGAGTCCGGTGTCGGATCATTCGCTCCTTCCCTGTGGCAGGAGGGATGATCCGAAGGTCCATGGTTCAAAAAAGGGGGAAAAAAAACAAACAAACTGCTGGATCTTGTAGTGGCGGCTATATTCTGTCACGGAATGCCAGGAGAGACAAGGTAAGTTCCAAGTGCAGTTTATTGAAAGTAACAAATAATCAAAAACAGAAATGAAAATGTGGCAAAAGGTAATCCAACACAAGGAACAGATACACGGTGAACTATGAACAGCATCGAAGAACAGACAAGGGAATGACAAATACAATATAGCCGCAATGACAGACAGAGTGAGCATGGTATATATAGATGGGATAATGAGTGAATGACTAGCAGGTGAAAGTGATCGGAACTGATAAACAGGTGCTGATGATCAGACAGAATGACAAGCAAGGAACTATGGGAATTGGAGTTGGACACATAAAACAAAGAAACAGGAGAGCGACCTCAAGTGGCCAGTCCAGGTCACCACAACCAGACACTGTGACAACAACAAATTGGTAACAAAACAGTCAGAACTTCAAGTTTGGTATTACAGTAAAAAGCAAACCCCTCACAAAAAAATCCACTTATTTCCATATCTCATTGTTAGTGCTGATGCAAATAGAGATCAGATACACACATTTCTCTGACAACAAACTAGCAATTAAAAAAAAAAATCTTTGCATTGATTTCAAATTCTTGAGCAGTCAGAAACTCTAGCCAGAAACAGCTTTGCATGTATGAGTTTGTTTATTTGACGCTGTGAGACAGAACTAGCATTTGCTTCAGTAACAGGAAAAACGTTATGTTTTCCAGTTTTTGACAGCTGTTGTTAGATTAGTTTCAGTATGACTGATCACCTAATCGCTATGACAAAGGCTTGAATCTGTTTTAAAGTGTTAAAAATTCAACCTCTCATAATGAGTGTCTGTTTTTTCCTCTATCTAAAGGGCACTGACTGTTATCTCAAGTTCTCACAGAGGTATTTTTAATACAGTAGTTGTTTATTTAGATATCATGCAGATTAATCACTGATCTAAAAACATCTATCCAACAACACTTTCCATCCATTTTTGCTGCTTTTTCTTTTCATCAAATCACATTTAAGATTTTCATCTTTATGTAAAGCCATTGTTATTTTCATCAGATATGTTGTGACATCCTGAGCTCACCTGGTACCTGTTGTCCCACAGATAGTTCAGAGTAATTTCCTCCACCACGTCAATCCTGCAGAGCTAAACACGTCCTCCCACAGATAGTTCAGAGTAATTTCCTCCACCACGTCAATCCTGCAGAGCTTGTGACCAAACACGTCCTTCAGCATCTTGATTAGGTAATGATGATGCTCCTCGCTCATTGCATAATGATGGTTAAAGTCTAAAAAAACAACCTCTTTCTTGTGTTTGGTCAAAAAATTATTAATGTCATTAAGGCCATCACGTACTTTGTGTCCAAACAGCCCATGGATAAAGTATATCTCGTGTCCTGGTTCTCCCGGTTTGGAGGAAACACGCAGGTCGAAATAACGTATTCCTCCCTCAAGCTGTTCCCTGAAGGTGAGGTTCTGGGTCATGGACCACTTCTTCATCACCTTCTTGGCCAGAAAGCGAAATATCGCAACCAGGTGCTTCACATATGCTTTCTGGTCTGGACCGACTGGAGCTTGCTCATCCACCCAGAAGCTGAAGGAATCATGAGAACCTATAGAACGAGCATAAAGGCAGCATCAAGACAGTTCTACAGTTCATTTAGCCATTAAGTATTGACACTACAAGTTGGTTATTATATTATTAACAATATTAAAGATTTATTGGAAATGTCCAGCTTTCAATAATCATTTGGTTACTATATAAAATCATAGGAACAGGTTTGACCATTTAGGACAGTCCTAATGAAAACCTAAAAAACAAGAGAAATTGACAAAAAGGGGGAGACACATGTTTGTCCTTAAAGAATTAACATCCTGAAAGGATTATGATGTTATGATGACATCATGTTATTTGTTTGTTTTTTTTACATTACATTTTACATTATTTTAATAAGTATGGATTTTAAGTCTAAAAATAAAATGTATATATTATATAAATATATTAATATTAATAAAACATTTATTTAATATATTATGTTATTAATATAACATTTATAAATATATAAAGTAATTTTTCTGTAATAACAGAAAAAAATATATAATGTATTGAAATATATAAAATATATATAAATATATCTAATATATAAAGTATATATATATATATATATATATATAAATTTATTCTTATGTACATTTTTAATTTATATATTTATAATTATATACGAAATTTTATATTTATGTAATTATATTTAATTAAAACAAACAATTAATGTAATAATTACTAAATACTACTTCTACTACTAACAACAATAATAATAATAATAAATTATCGAAATATTAATATAAATGTTTTTAATACAGCAAGAAAATGGAAATAGGGCTAGGGACAGGCCAAAAAAGATTATTAAAAGGGAAAGAAAATGAAAATGATATTAAAACTAAAAAATGAGTTTTTTTATGTGTTAAGAAAATGCCTGTATTAACACATAGTACAAGTCACTGTTTATACATTATCCTCTGTGCTGTCTTTGCAATGTAACAAATCATATAGCGTTCGAATTAAATAGCTACAAATGGAAAATAATACCTCGTTTTACTTTTACCTACACTTTAGTATTTAATTTAATTTCAGTTAAATGTTCAAAGGGAAAAGACATTCTCTCACCGGGAACCGCCAGGTGCTTGAGGGGCATAGATGTGAGGGCAGGGCACAGGGAGCCCATCCAGTCGGTGTTAGAGGTGTTTCCTGTGGGTCGCGTCTTCATTTCCTGTAGTAAAGCATTTCAGCTCTAACATTCACGATGCCAATTCAACACAGATCCAGGCCAAACCAATCCAGCATTGCTCGTTATCCCCAGCAAAATCATTACAGTCAATCGGGTCATCAGCACGCGATTTGAATCAAGATAAAAATGATTTAGTCATTATAACATCACTGGATGTGTGAGGCAGACTGCAGATGGAGAGCAAGCTCTTCTTAATCTTCTTAAACGGAAATGACACTTATCCTCCTCCCTGCTTCCCTGCTGGAGTTTAAACGACTCGGTCAGTGCTGATTATCCCCGCCCTCTCCCTCTCCATTAGACAGGTAACAGATGGGACACTTCACCTTCGGTACTGCAAGTGGATGTTGTCATGTTTAAAGACATTCACTTATTGACCACACCAATGAGTGTGATCTGTGGATAATTTCAGAATTTGCAGCACTCAGGGCAGGACTTAGGGGGACGGGGGCCCCTGGGCATGAGGTTATGTTTGGGCCCTATACCTATACACTACAAATGCCCTCAACTAGAACATCATTATGGAGTAACACAATTGTATTTTATTATTGTACATTTCTGTTCGTGCAGATATTCGGAAAAACAGAACTCTTGTTTGTGTGATAGGTTATAGCTCCTATATCATAGGCATATGTTATAAAAACAGAAACTCATTAAATGAACACATGAGAATTTATCATTATCTTTCTAAATGTGTGCTCTTTAAAGTAACCACGCGATACGTGTGTCCTTCTTCTATTTGAAAAAAATCATAAATAGGCTACCAGTTTATGCTGTTTTATATATGGCCTTGAATGTCTGTTAGCCCTGCATGGCTGGCCCATTTAGCCCTTGCATGCGCAGTGGAAATGTGGCTTATTTCTGACTGGCACAACTGAACAAATCAAACAAATGTAAACGGGCAGAAAGCGGGGCCCGGCTGCAGCCCGGTCAAGCCCATGCAAAGGTAAGTCCGGCCATGGCAGCAGTGAATAATTAAAATATGTACTACAAAGAAAATCTTTAATTAAATACTGTCTTCAGCATATTTTGGTTTTTGTCACTGCAGTGTACACCCAACGTAGTGGTTTTGATTTGCAGTGACTCAAATCTTTTGAATCATTTCACTAAAAAGATTTATTACACCAGAAGGAGGCAAGAAGTGAATAGGCTTGTTTGAGATGCGCCTCGCCTTACCTGAAATGTAGGTGAGAGTAGGCGGCTGCAGTGAGGGGAGGAGTGAAATAAGCGCAGTCAAGACGGACAGTTCTGCCCTCTCGAAGTGGAGCAGATACCAACGAGATCAAAGACAGATATCGCGTTATTCACACTTACATGCTGTGTTGCTAATAAACATGATATAATTTCAGTTCTGTTGCTTTGATATGAAAATAAATATGATGAACAAGACACTCAAAGTGCTTGCTATTTAATTCCATACGAAAGGTGTATTTATCATCCATTTTTACTTTAATACAAACATGTAATTTATATTTTTATAGAAATATGACATAATCACATTATCTCACACAGAGATCGCACTGTCATAGTGTTTGGGAACATTCATGCATAATTTAAATACATAATCACATGAAATCAGATAAAAAAATAAAATATTTTAGAAGAGAACCGCAGCGTCACAGGTGTCTGAACCAATGAGCATTAAGCTGTGACGTCAGTCAGTCGCCTCGCCTCGCCGTCGCGAGAGTTTTTTTGCACACGTCAGCATGACATCAGAGCAAGTAGTCTATATAGATTTTTTCAGTACATCCATGAAATTTATGAGATAGTAAGTTCCGTGTCGCCTAGGCACAACATCCCAGCATAAACGCTCCTGATAAAATATTTATTAAATCATCAACATTCACAAACCACTGTTATTTTTTAACAGAAAAGGCATCTACTCCAAAGTGTGCTTATAAGCGTTTTCATCATTTTCAGCAAATCTATCTTTTCCCCTTTCAGTTTTCGCTCATCCTTCAACTTGAACTGGAATTTATCAAGGTACAGAAAAAAAAAGATTAAGAGAAAAACAATTATAGCCAAAGCAGTCACATGCTTCAGTGAACAAGAACGATTCGTTCACTTAAAAGATTCGTTCAAAACACAGATTCGTTCATCACAGAGGCGTCACAGAAGGCTGAAAGCGCAGGTGTTCCTTTAAATGCCTTTTACTGAATAAGAAGATTTGTAAATAAACTGCGATTTAAAATAAAAGCTACGTCATACGAATGTTTACGTGACTGAATGAATGTGAAATGCAAAAGGTTGTGCATCAAACCTTTTTTTGTTGTTGCTATAGCTAAGATAAAATCGAATAACTTCAGTTTAGTTAAAATTAAAAGAGTATTATACAGAGTTTCAGTCCTGATCTTATGGTTTACATGTTTACAGTCCCTTTGACCACTAACCTACTAGTAAGCAAACGCACACACCACGCAAACCGACTTCCTGTGACATTAGTAGGTTTGCGTGTGCAGTATTTTTCATAGCGTAGGACGGAAAGATGCTTAGACTATCTCGCTGTGTATCATAATTTCTGAGTGTGGGCATGAAGGAAGATTTCCTCCACTAAGGTAATTGTGGACTTGCGGAAGAATACGTGACGTATTATTATCCTGTGCGCAAACAGCAGTGCCTCGAGCTGACAGCACGCTCCTCACACGTGCGATGTGAAACATGGAGCATCCAGCGTATCATGGGCCGATAAGCAAACAGAGATGCGAGGAGCTGCTCGGCAAGAAAGGACGGGACGGAACATACCTGATTCGGGACAGCGAGACCATTCAAGGAGCTCTCTGCCTCTGTGTGTAGTGAGTATTTTGTTTTCTTATTCACGTTATTTTTTTTTTGAAGAAACTGATTGTTGATGACTTTATCAAGGAGTCAATTTGGAATAAATGTGTTCTTTATGGTGTAATCTCCCGGTTCTTCTCATTTCCTTGCCACCATCGGATACAAGATGGATAGATTGTTAAATCTAGTATTCACTTAATTGAATGAATGAATTTAGACGAAAGGATGGATCAAACTGATTTTCTGCTTTTTTATTAGTTTAGTAGCTACCATCATCAGAAAAAAAGTATTGACAGCAAATAGTGTTAAAAGAAATAACTATATTCTGCATATCACACATGTATTAAATGCAGCAACTATTTGTCTTGCTGGCTACTATAAGGAACTACTTAAATTATGTAAATACATATACATCCCAGACATTTTACTCACCATTATTGGGACAGAATATATATGCATAATTACCTAAAAGTAGTATTATAAAAAAAAAAACAAAAAAAAACAAGAACATACATTTGACCTAAAATTATTATTATTATTAAAAACAAAACATAGATTTCACAACTGTGAGACTTAGTTCATAGCAAGTCAAATATGGAAAGCAGCTCTTTAGAATGAAGGCTGATGTTGATATTGATTAGTAGGCCTATTTATTTTTTTTTTAATATGTGACAGTGTTGAAAAAAGCCAGGACTCTTATAAAATCTTATAAACTGATGTGTAGTTTTAGCAGTAGTCAGTAAAAATGTAATGTAAATAATTTTTTCATATATATAAAATAATATCATATGGTTCAGTTGTATTAAGAATATTATACTAATAATCTCTAATTAAATTGGACATTTTGTTACTTACAAAACTAAGGGCAGGTTAATTCTATATCTCAAAAATCATTGACATTTTTTATATTTTACTAATTTTTAATATTTATTTTATAATGGGAATATTTATAGGAAATTAAGAAGTGAATGTGTAATTTGTAAACAAGAATTTGTAATTCTTTCCTTAAAGTGCATTTTTCATCCCAGTATTATTTCTAAATTTGTCCAGTTTCTAGCCCTGATATTATGTTGCAGTTTTTGAGTTGTTGGTAATACTTTGAAACCAATTATGTTTTTCTTGAAATATTTGGACGTTTTGTCATTTAGGGCCATGAAAATGCCTGCAAAGTGCAGACAGTCTGATGTGTTGTGGAATGTGCATACAAAATTTAGATTAAATTTTGATGTTTGTGGGTCAGTTCAAACCGCGTATTTAAGGCAGCTGCACAGACCCAAAAAAAGAGTGCGTATGTAAAAAGTGTAAAGCATTTTGTGATGTCAGTTTCTCAACTATCCTCTAAAAGGTATTTACATTTGGCAGACGCTTTAATCCAAAGAAATTGACACGGCAAGTCATATACAGTGGGTACGGAAAGTATTCAGACCCCCTTCAATTTTTCACTCTTTAATTGAAGGGGGTCTGAATACTTTCCGTACCCACTGTATGTTCATGTACGTTCAGTACGCTGGGAATCAAACCCATGATCTTGCCATTGCTAGTGCCATGCTACTGTTTGAACTTCAGGATAACACACGGAAGTGCGTTTCCACACTTCTTCTTTCTAAAATAATATGTTCTCATTTATTTTTTTGTAATATGTAAGAAGTGTTAATGTTTAAGATTTGCTGTTTTTACCAGATGTTTTGTTTGTTTTTCAGTATGGTGAACCCAGTTAGGGTCAAAACACAATATATACTGTATTTAGATATTTCTTCATGAAAATTGTGGACTTTCTGAAAAAGTACAGCTAAACTATGATCAATTAAATGGTGAAGGCTGAAGCATTCAGCAAATGCATGTTAATAAAAAGAGGAAATAAGCAGCTTGTGTCAGTGGAAAAAGAGAACTGGTAGATCTGGTAGATAAGTTAATGCACAGTAGAGACAAAATGTGAAAAAATGACAGACTATGAAGTGAAACTTTGCTCAAATTTAGAGTATAAAATAGAAAACTACAGTAAAAGTGTCTACTGCACATTTAGGGGCCATTCTAGTGATATTAATAAAAAAATTTAAAACCCGTGGCTCAAGACCCTTGAGTTATGTTATATTGTACATCAGTTGCATATTAGTTATCCAAGTGTTATCGTTTCTAATTTCAGTGTATTCTGAATGTTTTCGAACAATATATGCTAAGATTGAAATGATCTCAAAATACAGTTTCTCTAGAAGTCATTGAATGGTAAATAAATGTTGCCATGTATAATAGAACTCAGCTAAAATCTAAACGTATTACTGTTATTATCAGTGATGGTAAAGTAGCCTTATTTGTTGATATTTCTTTTTGGCAACATCTTAACAGTCTGTAGAACGACTGTGTGCAGAATGCACTGTAGATAGATAGACGAAAACAAACAAAGAAAATTAAAGGCTAAACTTTGAAAATCTCACAAAATCAAGTCTCATTTGTCCTCACATAACAACTAATAAAAAAAAACTTAATGAAGAGAGAACTAAAAGTTTTATCAGTGAATCTAAGATTAAACCAAACATAGCATGACATTTCCTGAAGGTCATTTTAATAAGAAAGTGTCTTCTAAGAATACACAGATTAATATACAAAATTATACAGATGTCAAAGTATACCATAACCATGTCATTTCATGTAAAAAGTTTAAAAAAGAGCAATTTTTAAATGCTAACCATGATGTATATTTTCAGTTTTGTTGATGATGTACGTATATTGATGCATCATGATGTGTATTTTTAGTTTTGTTTTCATACAATCCAGGATTTTTGGAGGTTTTATGCAGATAAATGTAAGACTTTTAAAGACCATTTTAAAACTAAGTAAAGAAAATGTAATTAATGGAAAACAATACATCAATATGATCTCTAAATGTAACTGCCTTGTATTAGCAATGCTTCAAAGTAAAAAAAAAAAAGAAAGAAAAAAAAAACAGATCTGTTACTTTTTATTTTCCAAAAAAAAGAAAGAAAAAGATTTGAGCTCTGCTCACAACCACTAGAATACGGAAATAACTTTTACTGTACCTTCTGATCACATTGCAAAAAAGTAATGTTCTTCATCAGTATTTCTGTCTTGTTTTCCAGTGTAAATGTCTAAAGATTAAATCAAAATGTGTAAATGCATTTACAAAGGATAAGATAAGAAATTGATCAAATTAATTTATGATTAAAACAAGAACAAATATCTGCCAGTGGGCTCAGTGGGCTCAAAACAACTTAATTCAAAGGACCAACACATTTTCATATCCCACTTTAATCATAAACTCCAATTTCTGAGTCCAATTTCTCAGAAAACAAGCTTGTAGCTCAAGTAAATCTTGATTGTATTGGAGAACAAAACAAAAATACTGAAGATATACATTTTTTTGCAGTGCATGCAACATTTATTGCCATGACTTTATGAATTTAAGACCTGTTAGGCCTTTACACCTTAATTTGTGAAGGGCTAATTAAATTAATTTCAAGACCCACAGAAACCCTGACTATCAAACCCCAAAGCTCATAGTCTGACATAATTCAAGCTTTAAAGTTTATGATTTAATGTAAATGGACTATGTTCACTCAGTTAATTATTTATTTATTCATTTTTACAGCAAACAAAAAGTGGTCTATACTTACAGGATTCTCCAAACCCACACCCGATACTTCACTCTACAGGTAAGATACACTAAAATAAGTATTCTGTGCTGGATACCTTTGGCAACTTTGATTCACTGCAATAATCTTATCGGTTTGCCAACAAATATGAATAAGTATATAAATATAAATGAATGAAATTCATTATAATGTCACAACACAATTTGTTCCAGGCCAGCTCAGGTGTAGAGGAGAAGTTTTTCAAGACGTTGAAGGATCTTATTCGCCATTACAAGCAAAAGAATGAAGGACTTGCAACACACTTATGCCATTCGCTGAAAAGAAAAACGCTGCAAGATCAGCCTTTGCAATGTGCAGAACCACTAGTGCCTAATGAGGAAAATGACTATGAAAGTGAGTGTCGACTGTTACAATATAAGAGATTAGCAATTACCAATGTCATTACAGTGACAAAACAATATCAGATAATTACAATGAACAGGAATCAGCTTTGCAGATTTTAGTGCTTCTCCTTGAAGGAGAATCAAAACTGCTCCTTTAACTAAATTAACTGTGAACACTTTTGTTTTTGTCTCTCACAGATGTTGAGTGCTCGGGGGACTATGTTGTTGTTCTGCCAGACTGATATAGTCACAATGTGACGTTCTGACTGGATAACTGGATCAGACAATATGAACAATATAGATGTGCTATTACAGTTTCCAAGAACTTTCTGGACATTTTCACCTCAAATATAGGAAATGCATGTGGAATCACATTATTTGAATCACATTTTAGCATAGGTATGTTTTTGTGCATGGAAAATGCATAAATTGGGGATGTAAATTTGAATGCTGTAAATGGTGTGAATTTTATGGAAGCCTGTTTCTGCTATGGAATAAAAAGGTAATTGCAACTTTTTATCTCACAATTTGGATGTTGTTTCTCACAATGAGGGGGAAAAAAAGTCAGAATTGCAAGATATAAACACAAAATTGCAAGATATAAACTCACAATTCTGAAAAAAATGTCATTGTGAGAAATAAACTCAGAATTCCAAGTTTATATCTAACATTTTTGAGTTTATATCTCGCAATTCTGAGTTTGTATCATGCAATTCTGAAGAAATGAGAACTGCAAGAAAATAAAGAAATAAGAATTGTGAGATGTAAACTCAGAATTGCAAGGAAAGAAGTCAGAATTGAAGTCGCTATTACTGTAAGTTTTTATTATTTATTTTTTTATTCTGTGGCGGAAATGTGCATTCATAGGATTTTGGTATAATTTGTTCATTACTAATTATAGTATCATAATAATTTGAGTGAAATGTTGAATTGAAAAATTAATTTGGCATTCAGAATGTCTTAGTATTTGGTATTGCTTTAATGACAAATGATTTAATGTACAGAGGAGTTCACATGTTCAATGTCACATGTTTGATTTAGTGTCCTAGAAATAGTCCAAAATATTAAATATTGTTTATTTATTTTACAACATTCTAGAAATTCTAAAACTTGGGTTTAGATTTTTAGTGTGGCCTTCGACTTTTAAAGTCCATTATTTGTCATTGGCCAATAAAGTCTGGTAGGAATTGTAATACTAATCTGGATGGGAGAAAAATATTAGGTTTGTATTTTGTGCTTGATGTTAAATCAAAGAACAAGAAGAGATTTTTGATTGTATATATATATATATATATACTGTATGTGTTTTTTTTTGGTTAAATGTATATCTGTATATTGTATGTACGGTTTATAAATATAATCTAATTTTGTGTCAAACAGAGTCTATAATAATGTATACTGTGTAAATGTTATGTTCCATGAATGTGCTGCCATCAGGTTGTAACGTAAATATATACCATTTTCTTAAAATAAAAATTTAAAATAGATGGGCCCACATTAGTCAGTCAAACAGGTTTCGTGACGCTGTTCCATGTGGCCAAAGACAGCAAATGATGTAGCCTGATGTTACTGTTTAATTTTAAGTTTGGTTGGTATCTTTAATAAATCAATTAGAAAAATAAAATAACTTGATTGGCATGTATTTCTCCAAGCGCTTCATGTCTCACAAATTACCAAATATTTTAATTTCTTTAAAAAGAGCAGAGGCCAGTTGCATAGGCACAGCCACTATGTTAAAACTGCGTCTTAAGAACTAGTCTGACCTACTAGCAGTTAACCAAGGGATAATCAATCTTACTATTCAAATTTTTATGTAACTGTAATTGAAAATTTACTTGAAAAGGTTACGAAAAAAAAAAGACAAAAAAAAAAGGAAAGATTATTGTCTTGTAAGACTAGTAAAAAGTAGTTTCTGCAACTGGCTACAGATACTAAATAGGTTATTACATTTATCATTTACAGTGACAGTACCTGTAATAGGGCAGTGTAGAAAATAAGCTTTTTCTATTGACCCAAATACCCAAACTATGACGTAGTTGCGTCAGTGCGTCGTCGAATTCTGGCTCTCAACATTCTTCTTAGAAAGGGGGGTTTAAGCTTTCCCAAGAAGTAATAAAAAAAGAGATTAACATAAAAGAGCAAAACACCCACTGATTCAATATTTAAACGTTATTTTGCTTCGTAAAAATTCTCTACCCTTTGTTTGAAACGTAAATATTTAGACATATTTGTAAATGTTTCCTTTATCCCCCTCCCATTTTGGATACTGAACACTTCCGGCGATTCGAAGTGTTAGCGGGAGGAAGTTGCTGTTGTAGCAGACAGTGGGGAACTTATTACAAGCTTTTGAGTAAATACTACGTAAAATAAAATACTGATAAATATCATTGTTAAAATAGAAGTCACCTCCATGCTTGATGAAAACGTTGTACGGGAGAGGATACAATATATCTGTTATTTAATCTCCGTAACAGCGTCTATTATCAACTAGCAAAGCCTACTGTATGTTTACAAAAACCTACCGAGAAACTGTTCAAGTTAGATAGTTTTCCCCTTCAGTTATTTGATTATTTTTGTTCAAGACCGCCATTGACCGACCTTGGGTGTAAAAAGATGGATGTATCGACCTGTTTGAAGTCTCTTCTGTTGGCCATTCGTCAGTACAGAAATAACAGGAGCGCTTTAAATGCATCACAGCTGCAGAAACACATCGAAGTGAGTGAAAACATTTTTCTGTGGGATTATTGAAAACTTATTATTTGTGTGATCTATCCAATGCTGTCATCATTTAGTCACCTTCAAGTTGGTCCAGAGTCCAAAAAGACTTTTTAATTCTTATGTGAAAGTGAACACAAAAGGAGATGTTAGGAAATGAAAGTGAATGGTGACTGAAGCTGCCATTCATCTCTACTGTTTTGGAAGGGAAAAAAAGCTATTTCTTAAATATTCAACACCATTTTCTTCTAGTTATGGTCTACATTTTTTATTTTATTTATTTTTTAATCTTTTGAATGCCACAAACCCCCAAATATGATCATCCTCATGCGAAGGACCCCCATCCTAAAATTTTAAAAGCAGCTATATATTATTTTATGTATGAAGACTCTAAATGAATATTATAAATGTTTAAAAAAATATTTTGTTTCTGTTGTTACATTATTTTCTTCAGCACACTATAGTACTATATTGTTTTATTTATTACTATATTATTTATTAATTAATTTGCTTAAAACAAATTTATATTATTTAGCTTATGGACTGCTTCCATAAGTTTAGTTTTGTGGACTGCAGTCTTCAAGTTATTCCACAGATTTTAAGTCACAGGTTTAAGTCTGGGCTCTGATTAGGCCATGCAAGGACATTCACCTTTTTCTCCTTCAACCACTGTGTGCTCAGTTTTGCTGTGTGCTTTGAGTCATTGTCATGTTGGAAGGTAAACGTTCTTCCCATTGACAACTTTCTTTCAGAGGGCAGCAGATTTTCCTCAAGAATTTTACAGTGTTTTGCCCCATCCATTTTCCCTTCTATCCTGACAAGTGCTCCAGTCCCTGCTGCAGAGAAACACCCCCATAACAGGATATTACCACCTCCTGCTTTACTGTAGGAATGCTGTTATTTGGATGGTGAGCTGTATTGGATTTCCGTCAGACATATCGTTTGGTGTTGAGGCCAAATAATACAATTTTAGTCTCATCTGCCTCAGAATCTTCAAGGTGCGTTTTGGCAAAGCTCAGTCATGACTCCATGTGGCCTTTCTTGAGGAGTCCCTTTTTTCTTGCAACCCTCCCATACAAGCCACATTTGTGGAGCGTTTCTGATATTGTCACATGCACTCAATGACCACTCTTTGTCATAAATTCCTGCAACTGCTTCAGCGTTGCTGTAGGCCTCTTGGTCGCCTCTCTGACCAGTTTCCTCCTGGCTCTTTCATCGAGTTTGGAGTGACATCCTGAACCAGGGAGGGTCTATGTTGTTCCAAATACCTTCCACTTCTTAATAATAGACTTCACCGTGCTTCTAGGAATTGATAAAGCCTTTGAATTTTTTTTGTGTCCATCTCCTGACTTGTGCCTGTCCACAACTTTATTCTGGAGATCTTTTGACAGTATCTTGCCACCCATAGTTGATTGTTTGCTTCAGTTGCACTACCAAGGACTGAAATGCTCCAGGAAAGCTCTTTTCATGCTGGGCTTATCAAAATGACCACAGCTGATCACAGTTGAAAGTCAAATGGCTTTGTGTGCCATTGTGAAGGTGATTAGTGGCCATTTTTAGGAGCGGGTGATCCTTTTTCCAACTCAGTGATTCTGTTTTTTAATTTATTTTAATTTATAAATTTTTTTCTGGCATGTTTGTGTTATATCTTTCAATTGGAAGTTATAAGTTGTACTGAGTACTAAATACAGCTGGTTTAAACAAAACTGTGTCCGTCTTCAATTCAGGCTGCAAAGCAACAAAATATGATTATTTTAAAGGGGGTGATTCTTTTCTATACCCAGGTCATGCTTGTCCAAGATTAATTTCCCTCAAACGGGACAATAAAGTTAATTCATTCATTCATTCATTCATTCATTCATTCATTCCCACTGTATATATACTTTTTTCACATCTTTTCTCTAAACTTTTCTTCAAACCCCCTAACATTCCCTCCCTGGACCCTGGTTTGAAAGCCACTGCTATTTGATTTGCTATTTGAAAGATTTGTGAATGCAATCTCTATTCTGTAATAACAGATGACTGGAAAAGAAAGAAACTGAGTCATCAAACAGTCAAACCCAGTGTGGTCAAAAAAGTGACAAAAAAATGTGTAATTTTACACATAATTTCCTTTAATATAAAATATCCAATATTTTAATTGCTATTTTTAATTCCACAGGATGTTTCGGGGCTGAAATGTGGTGGAGTGCTGTTTTCAGGTCAGGTGCTGCCCAGCGAGTGTCTGAGTGGACTCATGGAAGTAGCTGGAGATCCCAACACCAGTCACGCACTGACGGGATCCATTATATCCCTGCTGGCACAGTTTGGTATTAAACCCTTTAATATAGTTACACTGTCAGTTTATAGTTACATCACCAGTTGTTTACCCATGCATGTACACTTCTTAATGGCCCAACAGCTTCTGGTGGTGAGGCTAAAGAGGCTCTTCACAGCAGCTACAACTTCACCGGCACTTTGGCAGCCATAATCCACTGCAACAGAACCACACCAGAAGAGCCTCTTGTGCTGCAGGTGAGAGTACTGCAGTTTTTTAAGAAGTCTTCACTTCACAAACCATGCGGTTTTAAGTGCAAATTTTTATAACTGGTCAAAAATGTTTATATATTTGACGTGACTTACACTACCATTCAAAGTTTAAACTAACTTGCTTTTTATTTTAATATATTTAAAAAAATAATATGCTTATTATTTTAATATAATATGCTCTCCACAGTGCCTTAATGTGCTGCAGCAACTGACCTACAACATGAGGACTCTGCATTGTGCCTCTCACATCCATGAGCTCATCAGCTTCCTAATGCAACATGTGTAAGACCCATGACATTCACTTTACTGCTTTATGCATAGATGTTTGTTTGATGTAAATGCCACTTTTTAACAGAGCAATCCTCGTGTTAATAAAGATGATGCATATTACTGTACAATACCATTCAAAAGTTTCAGAAAATTTCTGAAAGATATGAATACTTTTATTACATAAAATAATAAAAGTAAAAAATTGCAAAACATTTTGATGCATTAAATTGGTCAAAAAATGACAGTAAATACATATGTTTTAAATGAATGTGGTTCTTTTGAACTTTTTATTCATCAAAGAATCCTGAAAAAATGTGTCACAGTTTCCACAAAAATATTGAACAGCACAACTGTAGTCAACATTGATAATAATAAGCGATATTTAATAAGCACCAAGTCATATTAAGAAAATTATTAAGAAAAGTTATTTTAAATTGTAATAATTTTGTAAACAATATTACTGTTTTCAATGTATTTTTGATCAAATAAATGCAGCCTCTGAGCATAAACTTTTTAATTGTATTATGAAAAGCACACAGAGTTTCATTTTTCTGGCCACAGTATATAAAATAAAGTAAATACTAAAACTGTTCATGTTTGAGGGATATAATAATCATCATTCAGGCCTGTAAATGCAATAATGATATTGACAAGTGGTCTCAAGTCCTGCATGCGAAACTCTTTTTAGTATCTTATTAAGAGGAAGCAGACATGCTAGAGGTTGTGTAGTGGAAAACCACAACACTGAACTGAAACAGTCTTTGCTTTTAATCACAGAGGCTGGCCATTTAGCAGCAACCTTTATAAGGTGCGATATGCATTAAAATATTGCACAGCAATGGTTATGCATGCAAAAGTTAACAGAATTGTGAATTTGACACAAGTATATTAAGATGAAAAGCAGTTATTTATAACAGCCTTTATTTATAAATAAAAACTATGCATAAAATATAATGCTTTTTATGATTGTCTTTAGCCAGTCAAGTAATGATGACATTGTAAAAGCCTGCTTGGGCCTGATGGCCAACCTCTGTCGACACGACATCTCTGTGCAGTCACACATCAAATCTCAGGTCAGAATCGGCATCAGCTCTGCATGATGAAGTCTCAGTATGAACTCTTATAAGTTTTGTTAGTGAACTAACCTGCTGATGACTACAATGCCTACTTTTTTTTTTTTTTCAGAGTAATGTGAAGGCTTTCTACAGAGCCTTGATTAATTTCCTGGGTCATAACTGTCTGACTGTGGTCGTCTTTGCGCTGTCCATATTATCAAGTTTGACTCTTAATGAAGAGGTTGGGCAGAAGGTAGGTTTGAGACATGGCACTGATGTTGGTTAGCTCACGTATCTTTCTCGTCATCTCGTCTTGTGGCTGGAAACTTGTGGCCCTGTACTTGTTTTCCATTTGTGGTTGTTGATACTTAAGTGTTTTTTCTTTTGCAGCTGTTTAATGCAAAGAACATTCATCAAACCTTTCAGCTGATATTTAATATCACCGTCAACGGAGATGGCACATTAACCAGGAATTATGCTGTGGACTTGTTAGGGGATCTCCTGAAAAACCCCAAAATTGCTGATTACCTGACCAAGTATGTGTTTATCGGAGTCTGATGGCACTGTTTTAAACGGCTTTCTAGTGGCACGGTCAGAACATCTTTTTTTTTCTCACGCTAGGTATAAACACCTCTCAGTTTGTCTTTCCGAGGTTCTTGGGCTATTACACAGCAAAGATCCTGATACTGCATCAAAGGTCAAATACATCATCTTTTCAATCAATTTTTTGTTTTTTCAAGTTATACATTTTTTAGGCAAAATATTTATTTAATTTCAAACCTTTAAACGTTAGCTTCTAGATCAAAAGGTCTTGAATTCTTGTCCAAACTGGTGCAGAGAGTCATGAGCTCTTGTCTGTGCAGGTTATGGAGTTGCTGGTTTCTTTGTGCTCAGTCCCTGTCCTGCGTAAGCTCGTCTGTGAGACGGTGCTCCGACCTCCAGCCCCTCGACTGCAGCCTGGTACTAGAAAATGTGTTCAGGCTCGAGGGTCTGAACCGAGTTTAGCACTCGTCCACTGGGTTACGTCACCTCTGGATGGTCCAGAGCAGTGCTACATGCAGGCTCTGTCCCTGCTGGCTGAGCTTTTTGAAGTATGCTAGTGTTTCAATTCAGTTTATTTGAATAATGCTTTTCAAAATACGTATTGTTTCAAAACAATTTTTTAAACTGTTTAAAACAACAGTTTTAAGCCTGGTTCAGACTACACGATTTTGCGATTTCCACCACGACGAGTTCCGTCATGGTGTCCAATAGGAGCACAGAAGCACCTTCGTACATGCTTTAAAACGAGCCGAAACGAAAGAGAGACAGTGGTATCGGTCCTGCTAGGTGGAATTTTACAATGGAGGAAATGTTCGTGGATCTATGGCAATGATACTCCTGCATTTATGATATTTCCTCGAGGGACTACCGCTACAGAGTGAAAAAGGTCAAATAAAAACAATTTTACCTCAGCTCTCTTTGACAATATATACCGTCCTCTTCATGCAATCCAGATTTGTGTCCACTGTCAGGTTTTCTGGGCAAAGGGCGAAACAAGCTGTTTACTAGCCATTGTTTGTTTACCCTCATGGCACCTTCTGTGTAATCCCACACTATCGATGACAGACAAGAGTGGCTGTCATAACTGACAAAAAAAATCTTGTAGTCTGAACCAGGCTTTAAACGTGCTAGTCTTTCTGTGTTGACGTCGTGAAGCGTCACAGACGTGGCATCGGCTGTTGCCCACTATGACACACTACGTGAGATGAAACTATTGAATCTTGCGTCCCGACGCCCATTGTCATTTACAAATCCCCATGACACCCTACGTCAAGCAGAACGTGCCAAAATCGGGCTAAAATTGTGTAGTTTGAACGGGGCTTTACAAAGAATAGTGCCTAAAAACACCCCACTGAATAAGCTAAATGTGAGAGTGGCAAGATTTTTTGTGCCCAAAATAGGGATGCATCAACATCACAAATCTGGACAATATTTGTAATTATTTTGTGACCAATTTTGTGGACTAAAGCTATTATATGATGTTAGATATAAAAAATACATGGATAATAATATGCTATTATTGTCTAAAAACAGTAAAAACACTCAAATTAAAATCAGTAATTTTAAATGCTTAAAATTAATTTAGGTATTACAAAATTATAATGTACAGTATGAAAAATGGATATACATTTTGGGATTTTTTAAAGATTACATTTAACAGTATTTATTTATTTATTTTTAAATAATTTGTCATCATTTTATTAGAGATTTTAAAGATTAACTAAATGAGAATTTGATGTCTTAAAATGTCATTGTTAGCTCAGGTCCATTAAATAATATTAACAGATACAACCTTTGATTTTAATAATATATTAGTAATTTTTGAAATGAACATTAACAAAGATTAATAAATGCTTTAGAAGTATTTAGTATTTTTATTGTTAAAATGTTGGGGGGCAGTCGTAGCCTAATGGTTAGAGAGTTGGACTTGTAACCCAAAGGTCACGGGTTCGAGTCTTGGTACCTGTGTGTGCACTTGGATGGGATAAATGCAGAGCACAAATTCGTCACGTCACTTCACTTATGTTAACAAATGGAACCTTATTGTAAAATGTTACCATTTCTCTATTAAATTCTGTTAATTTATATAATATTTTTCTGCCCTTTTAATCCGTACATTTGTGCTTGTCTTCATCCAGGAGGCAATTGATTCCTCTCTGTGCAGCTCAGCTCAGTCGTTTGTGGAGCTCCTTCTGCAGGAGGTGTTGGTTTTGCTGCAGTCTCCAGACTCCACTGAAGGAGACCAGCTGCTAAAGAAACACAGTCTACGTGCAGGCCGTGTCGTTGATTTTCTATTAGATATCCTTACTTTTTAAGCACAATAATCACACTTCAGCACACCTCACGGGACAAGCTGTCTGTTTGATGAGCTAGTGTTAGCAGCCAATCGGTATCAGCAAATATCAGATAATTATTTAGCCTAGCTTATATATGAATTGACCAGTAATTTGTTGTAGTATTGTGATTGTCTGATTCTACTGTAATAGTCAGGGTTCCCACGCTTCTTGAAAGTACTTGAATATCAGACACATGGATTCAAGGCCTGGAAAGTACTTGAAAACAAATATAGGTCCTTGAAAGTGCTTGAAATAAATTTGAAATAAATTTTGTTTAGTAGAATGGTGCTATTTAAAAAATGTTCCTATATGTGCTGTCAAAGGCAAAACGAAACAGCGCTAATGATTGGGGTGGAGATGGGGTAGCGCGAGAAAAAAATCTTAGCATGCGAGCTGATGCGCACATTGCGCAGCCCTGCATGAACCTATGGAGAAGCAGTGCATTTGCGACTGAAAACTACTGCGTGCGACTATGAAAAAATATTTAGGAGCACCAGTGCAAATGACCCAATCAGCATATTTGTGTTTGCGCTGAGGGTAGCTTCAAAGGTTTCTATCGTACTTCCGTGTTTTTGCAGCGGTGAGTAATGTATCACAGACATATCTGTTGATTCCTTGAACACAATAATCAGAATCCACTCACTGCTCAAAACGCCGTTTTGTTCAGTGCTGAGTTCTGCAAGCTCACGAATCCTCTCATTATAACAAAGTGTAGACAGGGTGTAAATAAGAGATTCATTGTGCAGTGTAGAGAGCTGCGTTGATTATAATGGAACTTTGTGAGATCGCGATGAACGAAGGAGAGTGACATCTTTTAATGATTAAGAGAGTTTGCAAATGATAATTGATATAATACAACAGTTCATTAAACAAGAAGTTAATATTAAGTGACTTGCATTGTCTGAACACTATTGCCTGATTTTGCTCTATTTCGTCAACCGAAATAGTTTCAAACAATGTAACAGCTGAGCCATTGTTTTGTTTATGTATGAATATGTATGTTTTTAAACGAATCTGATTCAATTACCCATTCATAAAGACAGTCACTTGCTTCGTTCCTGAAGGAAGCAGCCGTTCGAACGAATCAATTGAATGAATTATTCAGTGATAAAATCAGTGACTTGCCGCCACCTACTGGCATTTTTACTTTCATTTTAAAGTATCTTTTCTGTTATTTAAATCATTCCATTCCATTAAACCATCTGAAAATACATCTACAAGCCACTTTTGTGTTCTTCTGTGCCACCTCTGTAGTACAAATAATTTTTTAATACTGATTTAATTTGATTGGTAACTTATTCTACTTGTTTTTATTCTGTTGTTTTAATTAAAAATAAAAAAAAGCTTATAAATATAATTTTTTGAATTTGACAAAAGATGACATAATTTTAATAAAGTTAGAAAAATGCCATTACAAAGGTAAAAACAAAATTCCCTGTAAATCACTTTGAGTCAAATATCATCTCGTAATGGGAAGGCTAATATTTGATCAGAATTTTTGATTATTGATTAGAAGGTGCTCCTGAAATTTTTGACTGAGCTCCTAATTTTTTTTTTTAAAGCTTTTCACAAGTGCTCCTAAAAAGAAAAGTAACGTACAGCCCTGTTTAACCACTTTTTATTCATTTAAAAATTGAGAAATTCTTTCAAATTTAATTATTTTACAAGAATTACAGCAAAAAACAGTTTGATGCAAGAATATATATTTTTATCAATATTTGAGAAATTCTAAATTCCTTTGAACACAACTGCTCAAAATGGTCTAAATGTATGAAACCTACACATTCAAAACCTCATTACTCTGAAATTTTTAATGTAAATGTTAAGTGTAAGTGAAACGTTAAGTACTGTAAGAGGTCTTTCATGACGCTACATATGCTGTTGAATTTGAGCGGTGCTTGATATAAAATAAATGGTGCTTTAAAAAGTCCTTGAATCTGGCGTTCATGAAAGAGTGGGAACCCTGAATAGTATAGATATCCTTGACTCTTTCACTGCTTTGCGGCGATGATGCTCTGAGGATGCTGGTGTCCCAGCGGCTCAGTCCTGAGGTGTGTGTCTCACAGGTGGAGCTTCTGCTGTCCTACAATCAAGACCTCTCTGGGTCCACCTGCACTACCTCCAACTATCAGCTCAGGTAATGAAATGTTTTGGAAGTAAGAAAGCATTGACACTTACAGTACCAGTCAAATTTATTACAATCTCTTTAAAGTTTTTATCTCCTATGCTCACCAAGGCTGCATTTATTTGATCAAAATACAATATAACAGTAATATTGTGAAATATTACACTTTCCTGTAACAATTTTCTATTTTAGAATCTAATTTCATTACAGTGATGGCAAAGCTTTCACGTGATCCTTGAGAAATTGTCCTTCAAAAAAAGTGGTCTCCTTGTGCATCTCTAGTCAGGTGTGCTCTGAGGTGGTGCTGAAGACTCTAGAACTGATGAGCCATCTTAGGCAGCAGATGCCAGACATGGAGACGTCCTTCTACAGGATCTTACAGGTACAAGACCTACGCTGCCCTCCCTCAGACTTTGTTCACTCTGTATCAGATATTTATAACACTTCCCTTTCTGTGATCTCTTTTCCGTTGCATGCAGGACCAGCGCATGGTGACGCCTCTCTCACTAGCGTTGACCTCTAACTGCAGAGAGCATGTGCAGGTCGCCCTTCACATACTTTTTGAAGCAGCCCCACTGCCCGATTTCCCCTCTGTCATGTGAGTCAACAGAACACATAGCCACAGTGTGAATGTTTACGCTGAGGTGTCAAAACATTCAGTTTGACAGTCCAGGCTGTTTTATATGAAGTACCAAACATTCTGACTCTCAGCTTAATGACTGAGTGAAAAAAATATATCAATTTGAAACAGTTTGAATTTTAATTTGTAGTACGTTTGCTCTTACTTAGAATTAGAAATTTGAATAAATGGCTAATACTAAGTATTAAAATTATATGCTTAACTAGGGATTTTTAAAATTATAATGATTTAAAATTATGAAATCTGCAAACAATTCCCATAATGATTAAATGTACATTAGGAACGTTAGGTTTCCTCCTTAAATGCAGATATGTTACTTAACTACAAAAAAACTGTACACTACTGTTCAAAAGCGTGAGCTTGGCAAGATTATTTTAAAAGTTTTGGAAGGTGTTTCACCAAGGCTGCATTTATTTGATCAAAAATACAATAAGAACAGTAATATTGTGAAATATTATTGTATAATATTAAATATTATTATTGTATATCTGTGTTTTTGATTTTTATTTTAATACCTTGTAAAATGTAATATATTCCTGTGATGGCAAAGCTGAATTTTCAGCAGCCATTACTCCAGTCTTCAGTGTTATACGATCCTTCAGAAATCATTCTGATATGCTGATTTGTTGCAAGAAACATTTCTTAGTATTATCAATGTTGAAAACAGTTGTGCTGCTTAATATTTTTGTAGAAACTGTGATGTGTTGATAAATAGAAAGTTCAAAAGAACAGCATTTATTTGAAATATAAACCTTTTGTAACATTATAAATGTCTTTATTATCACTTTTGATCAATTTAATGCATCCTTGGTAAATAAAACTTTTTAAAATTAAAAAAAAAATGTTGACCCCAATATTAGTGCCTTTATTTATTTAGAAATAAATATTGGCACTAAATCCTGGAAAATAATTATTCTCTGTCACTCTTGTTTTAAGTCTGGGGGACAGTATTGCTGCCAATAACGCATACCGTCAGAGGGTTGGTGAGCTGTCGATCTGGAGCAGTTCTGCTAGTGAAGATGTGTCTTTCATGGGGAAGATTTTTCCCATAATGCATGCTGAACCTTCTGGTTCTGCTTACCAAAGTATCGACAGCCTCATCGAGAAGCTTCAGAACGGAGCGAAGGTATTCCATTTGTCTGGGCATGAGCAGCTGACAGTGACTCATTAGTTCTATGACCACAGTGTCTGCAGACATTCCATCGTGGGATTAGGTGCATGCAATTCCGTACTGACAATAGAAACGTGCCCACAAGTGGATGGCATGCTTGTTTTTTTGTTTTATTTTTAATGTTGTTGTAGTTACAGGAGAAGGTCAAAGATGTGCACATGTCAGAGATCATTGATGTGTATGAGCAGAAGCTTTCTGCACTAGCGGTAAGTTGTCATCAAGGAACTTCCTGTGTATATATTTAACATATGCAGACTTTGTAATTGTATGTGCTTTTGTATATGTAGTGTAAAGAGAGCCATCTGCAGGACCTTTTGGAGGCCAAAGCACTCGCGCTGTCGCAGGCTGATCGACTCATTGCTCAATACCGCTGTCAGAGAGCTCAGGCGGAAGCTGAGGTTACAATTTTTTTTTTTCTTTTTTCTTTCTGCAATGAAAACTGACTACTTTCACATGACCACTGTTTATGCATATGTGCTTTTTGAGTTGCTATTATTGAGTTGCTATTATATAGTTGTTTTCTGTTCTCAATCTTTCTCCATTCTAGGCACGTAAATTGGCATCTCTACTCAAAGACACGGAGCGGAAGAAAGAGGATCTGCAGACGGAGTTGAATGATCATCTGTTGGAGGTCGAGAGACTGAAGTCTGACAGCCAGCAGCTCCTGGAGCACAACGGCCGTCTGCAGGCAGTCGCTGACCAGCATCAGGAGCTGAAGGGCACCTACAACCAGCTGCTAAGTAGGTCAGTGTCCCTCTCACACACACACACTCAGATACAACATTTTAGTTCTCCAGGAATGGATATATCACATTTTTGTTATAGATAAGCAACCTCTTCTTTCTCCTCATCCTTTATTTTTAGGTATGACAAAAGTGAAGGGATGCTGAAGGAACTGCAGGCTGCCCATATCTCTCTTACCCAGCAGGCTGAGGGGCTGAGAAAGACCAATGAGGGATTAAAACTCCAACAGGAGAGGTCAGTGTTTGAAACGGTGGATTGAATGTCAGGTGTTTTTGACTCATAAAGGTGGCATGAAGTATAACCCAACTCTAATAACTATTTGCTTATGCTTCATGCCACCCTTGACTGAGTCAATAATAATAATAATACTTTTATTACAATTATGAAATATTATTAATAATACAATATTACATTTGTCATTATTATTATTTACTGGAGTTAGGTTATGCTTCGTCACTCTCAAAAAAAAGTCAAAAAATGATAATATAATTATTATCATGGAGAATAACCCAACTCAATTTAAAAGAAATAATAATTATTGTTGTTGTTATTATTATAGTTATTATTTTATTTTTATAATAGTAATAATAATAATAATAATAATTATTATTATTATTTATTGAAGTTGAAGTGTGCTTCATCCCACCCTTGAATGGGTCAATAATAATAATAATAATTATTATTATTATTATTATGGAAAATAATTGAATGGAGTTTTATCTGCTCAGGAGTCTTGCAGAGTTGGCAGAAAAAGAACAGCAGATAAAGGGCCTAAACACAGACGTGCTGGAGAAAGAGCGAATTATAACAGGTGAGCAGTGGAATTAATTTCACATCGGTTTTATGCTGTTTCAGTCATACACACTTTCATTTGGTATAAAGTGTACAAAAAAGTCCTGTTCTGTACCAGGTCTTCAGAATGATCTGAGGAGACAAGAGGAGCAGATCCATGAGATGGTGGAGAACATTTCCATCCTCAGGAAAGAGCTTAATAAGACGGAGCAAGCCAGGAAGGACACCAGCATCAAGGTGCCGTCAACATTCACTCAAACCTATCAATCAGTCCAATCAGTCTCAAATCATATTGTGTCATGATTAAACAAAACAGTCATAATTTAGCTTTACCTGTATTCTACCTGCTATATAAGAGGTCAGGTAGGCTGCATAATGATCCAGTGCGTTTTCTGTTGTTATATTCATCTTGCAGGCTTCCTCTCTGGAGCTGCAGAAATCCCAGCTAGAGGCCAAGCTGGAGAAGATGGAGGAAGAGCTGAGCAAACACTCGCAAATGATCGCCATGATACACAGTCTCAGCAGCAGCAAACTCAAGGGGGACGCCACCGCCAACCTCTCTCTGTGACACGCACACATTCATGTACACACCATCAAGCTATGAAATGCTTCACATGCTTCATGAAATGGAAATAACTTATTTTATCTGTATGTCTTATAACTTTTACTCCGTATACTTTGTGTTTTCTTTAATGTTTTTATGAATGAATAAATGTCTATAGAAGATAAAATATTAACATTACATTTTCTCTGCTTTCATTTTGGATTACATTCATTATTGCAATTATTCAGATGTTGATGTAATGTGCAGATTTTTGAAATAATCTTTGGCCACCAGAGGGCACTGTACAAACTGTTTACAGATTGTGACAATGTATTTAAACTTTTTTTTTAATAAACAAGAATACTTGTCTACTCTCCCTAAGAGAAAATATTCATTGATCATTCCTTCAGTTTCACAATGATAAGGATGTGGTTTAACAGCTCAGAGTGTGTGTGCTTTATTAGAGCCTTTCATGTGAAAGGTATGACTTGTTAAAATTAAATCTTTTAGGCCTGTAAAAATCAGAGTTTAAATTATAGTTTCTCTTTATTTAATGCATAAGTGTGTTCCTGATTTTAAATAATGTATTAGTTGGAAGCTATTAATACTTATATTTATTTTTTGAGAACAAAAGAGTGCGGGACCTATAGAAATGAATTCAATCAGGCTTGAACAAAATGCCATGATAGTTTTTTATTTTATTTTAATTTTTAAATGGGTCATGTCAATATAAATTTACTCTTAACATTAGTTTCAGTATTTGAACCTGATTTGTTACATATTTTCATAGTTGTTTTGGCAAGTTGTCAGCCAATCAGATGGATGTGTCCCAAATAATCAGTCTGGACTGTAACTATGCATTAGACATTGGCTCTTGTGTTTTTTTTATTTTTTTGATATCTTGAGCGTGAATGTTTTTTTAAAGAGACACCTGTTAATCTTACTTCACCTGTCTGTTTGAACATTCTCTCAAATTCTCACAGATTGTCAGTGCAACAATTTTAGGGGCAGCACTTTGTGATAAATCAGTAACCACAAACAGCTGACTGAAAAGTAATTTCTGAATAATTTTCTTAATTTAAAGCTGTATTTTTAGTGAAAAGTGATCGCGTGATTCATGGTTTTGTTAAACAGTTCAGGAGATGTCTCAAAACGTGTTAGTTGTAAGAAGTTTTTTTGCAATTCAGTACTGCAACAATCAGACCAAGAGCTTTCATATGTTGAGCTGTTCAAACGTTTGTGCTATCGTTTTGTTGTTGTTTTACAGCTGGAGGTGTGCCTCAGTTTCAGGTTAAAGGTATGATTTCCTTTATGACTTGATCATTGAGAATATGTGGCTCAGAGTTTCTCATATTTTGTTCATTATGATCCACCGAGCCCTGATATGGAATGAGAGCTCATTTTAATCTAGCCTATATTTATTTACATCCTTCATAAGCCGATCTTCATTAAATTGAAGAATACTGCAATTTATAGTAGATGGTAAAAAACAAAAACAAAAACAGCAATTGACAGGTTTGATCATCATGTAAAAGAACAGCAGAAAAACATGATTGCCCCTCATAAAGCCCATTGCTCAGGGACTGCCTCTGCTAAGTTATACAAGTTTTGTTCTCTTAAGAAAGTGGTTTCAAAACTTGTTTTCCTGATTACTGCGGAATCTGCTAAAAATCTGGGCCCATATTCACAAAACATCTTAAGGCTAAAAGTAGCTCATAACTTGCCGATTTAGAAGAAAATCTAAATAATAATGGGCGTGTCAATCCTAAATGTAGGACTCCTACATTTTTGCTCTAAGTGTATTTCACAACGCGTTTTAGCTCTAAAACTAGCTCCTAAATCTGTGAAACGTTAGGAGTAGTCCTAAAATCAAACCACAGACTATCCTAAAATGGCGGTTGACCGCAATCTGTTTTGGAACCTAAACATTTTAGAAATGTTTGATGATAATGATCTTTTAACAAGTTATCACCTTTGGTTTTGGAGGTTATCCCAACTCCAGATTTTCCTTTGATTATATGCTTGTTTTCATTAACCAGCTGGGAAAGAAGTAACAGCTGTGCTTGTGTCCAGTTTGGTTTTCTTTTACGTTTGCATGCCTTCCTATCAGCCATGATTATTCTACTCTGTTAATTAAAAGGCTGTTTATATGCATATTCACTAATTATGAGAAGCACACATGTAAGAGGCTGACAATTAGCTGAACATATAGCCTACTTGTTTAATTAGTGACATGTATCCTGCATTTTAAAATCTTTATATGAATGTGGCAATTAGCAGTTTTATTTTTAAACCTTTATTTGAATATGGCAACATAATATTGCGCTCTTCAATATTTCTATGACTAAACCTCTGACAGAGACTATCAGCCAATCACTGTGTGCATAGTTATTAAGTATGCTGACATCATCCATAGCAACCATGTTTTGTGAATACGGGCCCTGTTTTCTGCATGTCATGATTAATCACAATAGACTAATGACTGGAATCTGATCTGTCCGCTTCTGACAGAGCTAAAATATGTTAAAAATTAGAAAGTTAGAAGAAAAGCTCCTTCAGTATACAGAAAAGATTGTCTGTAACTTGGCTGTGAGTTTAGAAGGACATTTGAGTCTAGGCAGTGACTGCTTCAGTGATGTTCACTGAAATGTATCTTCAGACTGAAAACAAATCCAAAGCTTTAAAAAAAAAAACAAGTGTTTCATAACCAGGTTTTCGGGCTCATTGCACTCGCTGGTTACTCCTGGTATGCTTTCACCTTCAAAAGTCTTCTTATTCACCTTCAGGCTTACTTACCCTCATTTAATAAGTCCTGAATAATAAATATAAATACTAAAGATCAGGTACTGGATTTCCTTGTTAGTTTTCATCCATAATACGTTTCATGTAGAGTAGGCTATGTAAGCTTTTGTTAATCCATCTCCACGACTGTGCTGGACTTGAAGAGATAAGCCCCATTTGCTCTTTTTAATTGTCTTTGCTTCCATTTAACTTCTCCATCTCCTGGCCAGAATCTGATGTTTCTCTGGAATTTCTAGCATTGGAAGGTCTCTGTGTGAAAACACATGGCAGTTTAGTTTCAGGTTAGCATACTGAGGTAAACACATACAGTTTCAAGTTTAAAACTGAGAAAGTGAGGAAGGCAGATTCATTCAGATAACATGAAAACATTCTGAACTCAAAGCTCTTTTGCATGTCTTTTTTTTTTATTAATTTAAAATAAATAAAATAATGATAATGATATAACAACAAAAGAACAATAAATGAACTTACCCTTTTCTTTCTTTTTTTTACAACATAAACAATTGGTGCAATAAGAAAAATGGCTAGGCCTATACTAACGCAGATAATTATGTAGACTTTCATTCCCAAACCTGTACGGAAAGAAATGAGGATCAATTCTCTTTAAATGACGTCTCAAGTGCTATGACCACATTCAACACATTTGTGACCCTGGACCACAAAACCAGTCTTAAGTCGCTGGGGTATATTTGTAGCAATAGCCAAAAAAACATTGTATGGGTCAAAATTATCGATTTTTCTTTTATGCCAAAATCATTAGGACATTAATTAAAGATCATGTTCCATGAAGATATTTTGTAAACTTCCTACCATAAATATATCAAAACTTAATTTTTGATTAGCAATATGCATGGCTAAGAACTTCATTTGGACAACTTTAAAGGCGATTTTCTCAATATTTCAATTTTTTTGCACCCTCAGATTCCAGATTTTCAAATAGTTGTATCTCGGCCAAATATTGTCCTATCCTAACAAACCATACATCAATGGAAAGCTTATTTATTCAGCTTTCAGATGATGTATAAATCTCAATTTCAAAAAATTGACCGGTTTTGTGGCTGGTTTTGTGGTCCAGGGTCACATTTTTGTCTGCTTTATAGTTTTTTTCTTTTGTGTCTGTTTGATTGATTAGTAGATACACGAATTTGAAACATTCTAGATAGTAGAAATGTTGATATACCTCTTGATTGGACTTTGGTTTGTGTGATGTATCTGTACTGGGCTGTAGCACTTTCACATGTGTATGTTCCCAGTTGCTCTTGATTAAGATGAGAGAGTATAATGCTTCCATTTTCTGGATGAAAGGTAACTTTATCCCTCCACTGCTCAGAGATGTTTTTCATTGAGGTTTTGCAGTAATATCTCATGATGGTGGTGGACAAACTCAAGATGAGTGTGTAGTTGAAGTCCTTAGTGACTGGACATTTGAAAATGAACTCATTCTTGGAGAGTTCTGAAGCAGCTAAATAAAAAAAGTTCAATTATGCATTAAAAATAGGAATTTGACAAAAAATCTCTGTACTTCAAAATGTAACTTTATAATCATTTAAAATTGATAAGTTTTCTCTTACAGAACATCAGATATATATTCTGTGACACTGTAACAAAAAAAAAAATCTGCGAATTTACCTTGTTGTTTCAGACTAGCTGTATAGCTGTATGTATCTTTAGTAGTTATCGAGCAGTTATATGTGTAGGTATCTGTGATGGCATCCACTTTCAGTTGACTTGTCACTGTAAACAGGTTATCTTCTGCTTGACTGACATTGTTCAGCGACTCCTTTGCTGGAGGGTCTGAGGACCACAAGACTTTTGGTTCTGGATAAACTCCACTGGTGCTGCAGATGACTGTATCACCTTTTAATGTGATGTTCACTGATTTAGCTGGAGCTAAAAATATAAACATATAGCAAAACAATTATAACAATTATTTTGTGATGTTTTCTCAACAACAAAAAAAGAAGGAATAGATGATTTTAGATCATATTGGTGCTGTAATTTTCAATGACTATTTTCTTTCTGTTAACTTCCCATCTACACTCAAAGGAAAGAAGAGTATCTCGAATTATGCAATCGAGTCGTCTTCCTACGCTCTCAGAATACTTAAATATTTGTATATGCATATTTTCTTATAAAATTTTATTTAATTATGTCAATCGCAATGCTTCACGGGCAGTGTTGGGTAGATTACTTACAAATTGTAGTCCATTACTGATTCCAAATTACATGAGAAAAATAATATAATTCATTACATTACACATTTTAGGTAATATAATCAGACTACTTTTTGATTACTTTTAGATTACTAAAACTAACTTGTTACTAACTTGTTTATTACATTGATTTAAATAGTATTGTACAATATTGATATAAAATACAAAGAGAATTCCATTCATTGCTATTAGTAGCATGAAGTGCATTAAATATTGCATAATGTTTTCTGAAACTGGAGTTCATGAAGGAAATGCAAGGAGTTTGTGAATTTAATGAAAAGCTAATAATTAATTTAATCCTAACAATTTTAAATGAAAATAAATCTCTTTAAAATAACAACAATCAAAATAAAACACTTACTAACAAAGATTAAATATTTTATTTGTTTACCTGCATTTCATGTGACCAGTATCCAACCTCAGAGAAGCCTGAACATGCAAATGTGTTATTTAATCATTAACTGACTACCTTCAAATTTCAGGGCTACTTCAAGTAAATATATTAGGTGAAAGAGGTTCAGCTGAAAA